GGTCTAAAACCACTCGGCTGCGCCTCGTGTTTTATACCCGATAAAACACTCCTGCTCGTTTATTAAACATTACTTGGAATCATTTTATGGTATCTTTTCTTCAATGTGTAGTTCCAGAAATTATCCATACTCACCCCAAAGAGGAATTTGGAATTTTCAAAGAGTGTGGGGGTCAGAGAAAAAACAAGAATTACAGAGATTGTATGGAAGAAAATTGGAATTTTCTGGGGGGTAGGGGGGGTGTCTTAAAAAATTCCTCCTGAGTGGGGTATGCATAATGCCTACACAATACTGAGTGTAAAACTAGCAGATACTTTATTACAAGATACAAAGAAATGTATATGGTGATATTTAGTGTCGAGCTGACTAGTGCATGACATCACAGACTCATATAAAAATTCGAAACAATATAATACTTCCCATCCGAATATCAGGAAACCAGTGATTATTAGACCTTTAAAGGCTATTCCAGTAAAGTTTGCGAGTCCCCCTTTAAACAAAATCTCTTTATGTCATATATGATACACTTATTTCAATAAAGTTAGTCACCAAAAACCTAGAAAGCTGAGATCACTGAGCATCATGGGAAACTTTTCATATCAAAAAAACATATATATACAAAGCTTTTTTAATACAAACTGCAGATCGATGATGCTCAGAAGAGGTGAGACTGTAACGGGCAAAAGATTCGCAAGTCCATGAACAGTTATCAAGCGGTTGAACGTTTAAAATGAATTTACCCATAATCCTTGTCGGCCTCAGCTTTATAGCTTTTCAGGTGACTAACTTCATTGAAGTAAGTGTATATTATTCACACTTATTGGATACTATAATTATATATGAAGATATGGAATTACAATAGTTTTTAGTGTATAAATATATATTTTTTATATCAGTAAATGATTTTTCTTTCCAAGAAATCACGCCATGGCCGACTTCACCTAAAGGTTCTTATTTGCTTTCGTCGCTTTCATCCAGTCTGGTATTTATAGTAAGAATTTTTATGAGTTTTGCATTTTACTCTCAGTAATAAACAGTTTTCTTCAGAAAAAATAGTATTGGAGTCAATATTTTTATGAATTGAACTTGGCGTTTTAGATTAATGATTTTAAACTTATTTTAGAAAACTCATTAATAATTCATGAAG